AAACAGTGATATTGAATAAAGATGGTATATTGAAAGTTAAGAATGTCTTTACTGGGTAGAACGATATAAAGAAATTTCACCTGAAAATATTATTGGGTTTATTTGTGACTCTTGTATTTGCGATCCTTTTTTTACATTCCTAAGTTTACTGGTAATATAGTAAACTGCTTTTGTTATGTAGTCACAATTTTATTCCAATAATTCTTCCAGTATTCTTCAAGCTTTCCTTTTCTCCAATTTCAAGTTCTCCAGCTACAGATATAGTGACATATAAATATTTCAGTAGCATTTTTCTGCACAGAAGGAATTTCAGTATTTTGTAAAAATGTTGCTGGATCTTTAGCACACTCCTTTCTTCTAAGGCCTGATAATCATCCTTAATAAAAACCCCAGTGACTTTAAAGTACCTGAATAAGCTTTGTAGTATAAAACTTTATTTAAACCATCATCTTATACAGCCTTTGTGATTTTCCCTTACTAAAAGAATGGTTGAAAATGGTGTATGATGCAACAATTCAAGGTCAGTAAAAGCCAGGTTCAAATATAAACATTGTGTGCAGTATTTGTGCAGGGAACAGTCAACAAGCCATTGAAAGCAAGCCATTTAATCACATGAATGTAGTAAAATGATAGAAACTGTTCAACGACTTTACCTTTCTAAATAGGAAAAACAGTTAAACTTCTTCCATTTTTTTTTAATTCAATCGTGGGACAAGGGCATCACTGGCTGACCAGCATTTATAAGCCCATTCCAGTGGCCCTTGAGAAGGTGGGTGATGAGCCGCCTTCTTGAACCACTTCAGTCCATGTGCGGTAGGTTGACCCACATTGCCATTAGAGAGGGAATTCCAAGATTTTGGTCCAGCGATAGCAAAGGAATGACGATATCTTTCCAAGTCAGGACAGCGAGTGGCTTGGAGGGGAACTTGCAGGCGGTGGCGTTCCCATGTATCTGCTACCCTTGTTCTTCTAGATGGATGTGGTCGTGGGTTTGGAAGGTTCTGTCTATGGATTTTTGATAGTAAACACTGCTGCTACTGAGCATCAGTGGTGGAGGGAGTGGATGATTGCAGATGTGGTGCCAGTCAATCAGGCTGTTTTGTCCTCAATGGTGTCAATCTTCTGGAGTGTTATTGGGCCTGCATCCGTGCAGGCAAGCATGAAGTATTCCATTGCACTCCTGACTTGTGCCTTGTTGATGGTGGACAGGCTTTGAGGAGTCAGGAGGTGAGTTACTCGCCGCAGTACTCCTAGCTTCTGACTTGTCTCATGGCAACTACATTCATTTTGCAAGTTTAGTTTAGCTTCTGGTCAATAGTAACCCCAAGGATGTTGATATTGGCAGATTCAGTGATGGTTACACCATTGAGTGTCAAGGGGCAGTGATGAGATGGTCTTTTTTATTGGAGATGATTATTCTTTGGCATTTGTGTGGCATGAATGTTACTTGTCACTTTTCAGCCGAAACCTGGATATTGTCCAGATCTTGTTGCATTTGAACATGGACTGCTTTAATACCAGAGGAGTTGGAAATGCTGAACATGGTGTAATCATCAGCAAACATCCTCACTCTGACCTTCTAATAGAGGGAAAAATCATTGAAGGAGCAGCTGAAGATGGCTGGACTTGGGACATTACCCTGGAGGAACTCTCGCAGAGATGTCCTGGAGCTGAAATAACTGAAATCCAACAACCACGACCATTTCCTATGTGCCAGGTATGAATCCAACCACGAGAGAGTTTGCCCCTGATGCCCATTGATTCCAGTTTTGCTAAGACTCCTTGATGTCACATTTGGTCCTCAATGTGTGCTCGATGTCAAGGACTGTCACGCTCACCTCACTTCTGGAGTTCATGTTTGCACCAAGGCAATGAGGTCAGGAACTGGGAAAAACAAGTTTACTGTTTAAATGTCTGTTGGCATGTCCTGTAGATGAACATGAGCCATTCACCTGTGAGTGTACTGTCACTTATGCTTCAATTACAATAACTGACCATTCAGTTCAATAGTTTGCCTTTCATATATCCTCAAAACATTTTTGCTATAGGGAGTTAACACTAAGAATCTTAAGAAAAATGTGATTTGACAAAATATTAGACAAAAATAATCTTAAGATTTTGACTACAAATTAGTACAAATACATATATATAAAACAACGAATTGTCATTGCCTGTAAACCTCTGAACCTTCAAATGTGTATGTGCTAACACTTTATTCAGTCTTATATTCATCACTTATGCTTTCAAAATTTCACAAATTGCTGGCTGTAGAATTCCAAATGCTTGAAATCCTATGCAAGTTTACTTCTTGGTAGATTAGAAAATGTAGACATTGAGCTTATTTACATTACAAGAATACTCACTAGTTTTCAGAATGATTATTTGATTTGCTCAACATGCCAATCAAATGGCTACTCTCTTAATTTTACCATTTCTTTTCCTTTCTAATGTAGCATGAACTTCAAGTGAAAGATTTGCCTGGCCAGTTGATTGGGCAAAGACAGCAATGAGTGATAAAAATGTGGAAAAATGTCCAAAACAGATCTAAGATCTATTCAGGGAAGCAAACGAAAATCAAAAACGACTGTAAACATTTCCACAGGTTCATAAACGGAAAATATTTGACCAAAAGAAAAATGGGCCTATTACAGAGTCAGGAGAATCAATAATAAAGAATAGAGAGATAGCAGAAAAGCTAACTGATTTTTGTGTCTGTCTTCACTGAGGAAGATACTATCAATCTCAGCAAATTACATGTCCAAGATAACCAAAGAAGGTCACACCACCAGACCAAGGAGCTTGAACCCAAATTGCAACCAGAGTCAGTACTGTGTCCTGAGTGAAATGGGATGCCCAGCAGTGCAGAAAAAAAGGTCAACGATCTTCTGTGCTCCCCAACAGCAAGTGCCACCATATTCTGCCTTCACCATCACAGTTACAGGGCTGCCATGTACTAACTATACCACTGCACATGCCTCTCAAAAAGGCTCATGGACTACAATTCTCAACATTGTGTGCATCATTTCCAATCAATGTCTCTCGTCCACCTTCTCCTCACAATCCGTCCTGCCCTCTGCACTGTCTACTCACTCACTGGAGACACTGCACAAACTCCCACACCTGCGTATTATCACTAACTGCTCTTCCTCCCACTTCCATGATACTCAATCCCTCGCTTTATCTCATAGCAGTCCTCCAAACTGACGTCTCCACAGAAATCCCAATGATTTAACGATAATCTCTGCGTTGTTGCATTTGAACTGCAGCAGTGACCAAAAGCCAATTCCCAACTTGCAAGGACATAGATCTCCGGCCTCTGGTAACACTAAGTGCCTAATTGCAGGCAACCTTTTGGCCTGGAATTAGATGGGCCTGTGGCTGACTGTGGCAGTCTCTCTTGACTGACTATTGCTCTAACTCCCCAACCCTTCACCCAACTACAGACTGCATCTCTCTGACATTCATACATGGCCATTTGCTTGCAACTCATGCAGTCTGCTGCATGAACTGTGGCCACATGCTGCAAGGTGTGATATTGCCGCACAATGACATGCTGACTCCCTTCACTGTTCACTGCTCCCTAACATAAAAAGCTGCATGTAATGCATGCGTCTGCATTAAAGAAATGTGTAGATGAATAAAATGCAAGTGTACTGCTGCAAGCAAAGCAAGCTGGCAGATGTATGAAACTTTTAGGTATGCCTGAGCTCCAAGGTAAATTGTTGAAGGTCTAATGTGGTGTCTGAACTGGCCCGTGCACAGGCATGATGTGGACGGGCTGGTGGTTTGCCATAGCTGACTTCTATATTCAAAGGATTGAGAAACAGGTCGACCATGGAGCTTGCAGTGACATTGTTGTGAAGCAGTGTTTGCATAAGGACTAAAGACAACCATTTGACAAAGTGCAGTCATCAGATACTCACTCTGATTTATATGTCAGGAATTTGTGCCATCTAATGTCTCAGGGAAGGAGACCAGAATTGGAAGCGGCATACAAGTAAGGAGAGTTAGGTCTTTAATGAGTTGTAAATGCACGGAAATAAGGTAGTGCTGCTCAAAAATGGCTGAATTGTGAAGTCACCATCAAAGGCTTGTGGGGAAAATTGCAAACATTTTTCTCAATACAAAGTTGCAATTTTTAAAAAAATTCTCTCCATATTCTCCTAACTTTCCTATCACCGCTCATGGCACACCACAGAGGAGAAAATTTCACCTGTAACATTCAGAATTAAATGTGGTTCCAAGATTGAGCAGCTCCTACTCAATAAACCCAGAGCGTGTTAATAATTCTAACAATTGTTTAAGACTATCATTTGGGCTCACCTTGTGGCTCATTTAACACTTGTTAGAAGCAATGTAAATTCAAACACAGGACCCAGTTCTGCTTAGGTTGAAGTCAGTGTTCCCTGGTGCATTCCCCGTAACGCTTCCCGATCAATGCAACATTAATTTTTTTAAAAACAAACAAGAGTTTTGGGGGCAACTGCTCTGGATTCTCCAGGGATATCAAGGTCCACTAGACATATCCATTTCACAAGTGTATAAATTGTTGTTCCATCTAAAAGTTGGCATTTTTGCATCCTCCTGATGAGTGCAATAAACTTCAAAATCATCTCTTTTTCAGCAACAGTAAACAAGTTCCCAAGATCAATAATACTATCAGACACTGGATGCCGAGAAACAAAATTGCAGAAGTAAATTTGCCATGAACGCAGATATCTAGTATTGAGTGTGGCAAACAACCACGAAAAGCATGGGAAGAGATAAAACTGCCCACAATTTTATCTAAGAAATAACATACAAGAAATATGCAGAACAAATTTGTCATCATAACTATTCAACTTACCAGTATAATGAATATTTCTTCTTTGGGGATTTGCATTTTTCCAACACTGATTATATTTGATATTTTGAAAAATCCAGTCAATATTTGCTGGTATGAGGAAAAGAATATGAATATACTTTAAGGAATATAATTAAATTTTGATGATTATGCTTACCTGTGATTAAACTTGTGTCCAAAGGAAACCCAATCTTTTTCAATTAAAACCTATATTAAAAGTTATGAAAAGGACTTTATAAAATCATAATTGTGACAACGACAAAAAGCAATTGATTCTACAAATCTCTCATGTTATAGTTGAAGGATCAGAATAACCAGTCAATTTGCATTAAGAAAGGAAGAAATAAATAGCATTTACATAGTATATCTTAAGGTTATTAACAAATGCAAACTCATTTCAAACGGTTAGAATTTCTTCCATGGAACCTATTTTTTCCAGATAGGGCTTCGGTCATTCACAAGGGACCATTCTGATTATTCCAACTTTACTGATTCAGAGTAATCACAGTGGGACCATCAGGACGATGTCACCTCCAACAGTATTGCACTCCCTCAGTACAGCAGCCTGAAGCGCAGCCTCGATTATATGATCAATGTCTGCAAGGTAGTTTGAACCCACAACCACCTGATTAAGTGGTGAGAGAGATAGCACAGAGCCAAGTTTGACACTTGAAAGCAGAAAATATAAAACGGATATCTGGGCCTACTGGATTAATCTAAATAAATAAGCCCTTCATTTTCATTTATTTGCACCATCTTGGCACGCCTGCTAATTTTGTTGCGTTAATTAGGCTGATTTCCACGTACAGTTGCTGTGGATACATTACACATTTGACTTCATCCGTTTTATAAAAGATGATCTATTGAAATAGAGAACTGGATACAACTCTAAATTTGTGGTACACTGCTATTTGTTTTTAAGGTATTGTTGGTACTGTATTGCTAGAAATTCTAGCTCCTGACTGCTGCTCGAAAAGTCACCCACTCCACAGGTTGAGACTTCTAAATGTGCACAAAACTGCGTTAAGGAGTTTTTCCATTCATATAAATTGTATCAGCTGTATGAAATACTGCATATTAAAACTAACTTTCCAATATCAGCCCCATGTTTATGCTTTATTAGGTGGAATTATGCCCCCTTGTTCTAGTGTCATGAGTTAGACTGCAATTGTGCTCAAAATTTACCTTTTGCATTCTTTTCACCTTAAATATAAGTAAAACCCCTCCCCTCATATTTAATAAGATCACTCTCAATTATTTGCTTTCAATGTTGAGAAGTCTAAATACCTCCAGTCCTCCCCTAGCCCAGATATCTGTCTTGGGGCAGTTGCAGTGCTCCAGCGAGGTTCAGTGCAAGCTGGAAGAACAGAACCTCATTTTCCGCATGGAAACATTGTAGCCTTCAATAATTTTTGAGCCTGAACCTCCCTCAATGTCTTTTACCCATTACTCTACACTCTAGGCCCTGTCATGACATGGGTTGCTTTCAGTACAGCTTTCCCATTTTCACCCTCTCATAATCCCCATTATCATCTCTCTAGCTTTTCTTCTTCCCTGGTTTACTATCAACAATCTCTTTGTCTGCCTAACTTCTTTCTCTGTGCTCCGTCTCCAACTATTCACTTACTCCTTCTATTCATTCCACTCAACTCCCCACCCCGCCACGCTCTGTCATCAACATAAAGCCACTTTTTCCAAGATGCCATCAGTTCTGAATGAGGGTCACTGGACTCAAAACATTTGCTCTGTTTCTCTTTCCACAAATTCTGCCAGACCTGCTGAGTATCTCCAGAAATGTCTACCTTTGTTCAGACAATGGTTTCTCATTCAGCTTTTCCCTCTTTTACACGAGTTGTCACAATGATCTTCATATCAACGTTTATTTTTGGATTTGGTACTTAATTTTACAACCAGATACTCTTTTACTACCAGTCCTCCACATTTGCCCAGGCTGGGATCCGGCATGGATACATACTGATGACCGGCAACTAACATTCATACTGCATAAGGGCCAGATAATAACATTCTCAAACATGACTGAAACTAACCATCCCCCCACTGAGTTCCCCACTTGCAACAGTCCGGGGTTAACATTGACAAAAAACTGAAATGAATCAGCCATATAAATACTGTGGCTACATCAGCAAGTCAACCCACCTCATTCTATCCCAAATTAACCTAACTCATTACATATTACTGGATCCAAAAAAGCCTGTTCCCAGGTAGATTTTGCAATGTATTGCTCTAAGAAACTATCTCTGACGTACTCTACATATTCTATTTCCATGTCACCCTTGTCCATCTCTTCCGTCCAGTCTATATGCAGATTAAACCACCCACAACAACTACAGAGCACTTCTCACAAGCCTCCATTATTTCCCGATTTATACTTCGGCCTGTAGTGAGGCAACTCTTCAGGAGCCTACAGAATGACTCAGAACTGTGACTTCTTCCTCTTGCAATGCCTTATTTCCACCCAAACTGATTCCACATCTGTTAAACTCATAGCATTACATGCCGTAACACTGACACCATCCTTTATTAACAATGAAGGGTCTAGGCCCGAAACATCAGCCTTCCTGCTCCTTCCTTGGCCCGCTGTGTTCATCCAGCTCTACACCTTGTTATCTTAGCCCAACTCTTGTTCCTTTTTGTTTATTCTTCCAAAATATTGAATACCCTTGAAATACTGAGTTCCCAGTTTCAGCATCCTCAGTCTTGGTCACCATGTAACCGTATCTTCCGTAATAGCAATCAAGTATATTCATTGATTTCTATTTGTGCTGTCACTCATCAACCTTGTTACAAATGCCACCTGCATTCAGATATATAGCCTTAAGCCTTGACTTTTTCCCATTTATTACTTGTTCTGGTTCTAATATTTGGTATACTCTTCTGCATTTATTTTCTAAACCTCCTTTTCACACTTTGATTATCATTTGCATCTTCATTGCCCTGCATCTCTGCTCTCTTGTTTCTTTTTGACTTATTAAACTTCTCTTCAATGAACCCACACCCTGCCCTCTAATTGGTTTATGTCCCAAATTCAACCCTGGTTATACTATTCAGCAGGACACTGGTCCCAGCATGGTTTAAATGGAGCCCTCTCTCTTTCCTCAGTATTAGTGCCTGTGCTCCATGAATCAGAATTCACTTCTCCCACACAAATCATTGAGTGACACATTTACCTCTCCAATCTTATTCACCTTACACCAATTTTCACATGGATCAGGTAGTAATGTGTGCTTTTAAATTTAGCCCTGAACTGCTCGTAATCCCCCAGCAGAACCTTTTTCTTAGTCGTACCTTTATCATTGGTACCAATGTGGATCATGACAACTGAATCCTTCCCCCCTCACTTCATGTTCCTCTTCAACCCAGAAAAGATGTCTTTTCACACTAGGAAGGCATCACAGACTTTGAATCTCTCTCTTTGCTGTAGAGAACAGTGCCCATTCCTTTAACTATGCTATCCTCTAACACAACGTATTTGACTATTCTTCCCTCCACAACAGTGTCCAGTTTGCTTATCCTACCTGCAGTCTGTGCCTTTGTCTACATCAGCAGCAAAAATCTCATATTAAGAGACAAGGGCACTGGTTCAGGCTTCTTCAGAGCTACATTCTGGATCCCCATAATGTTCACACACATTCACACTATACTGTCCGTGACCACAGTTCAAAGCTGATGTAATTTATCTGAGGGGTAAGACTGCCTCCTGAAACAGTGTCCAGGGGTCTCACTCTCGCCCTGATATGTTGTAGTATCCACAGCTATTCAACTCTGAGTGTAAGTGCCTCGAGCAGGTATACTCGCTATGGATGTGGTCTTGGTGGATAGCGCTCGCGTCCATCAGCTCCCACATACTGCAGCTGCAACACATTGCCAGCCTTGCTAACTCTATTTGATTCAATTCATTAATGAATGGTCTTGTAACTACATTGCTGTGCCTTCATTGTCACTGGGTCAAATTCCTAGGACTCCCTTCCTAACAGCACTGTCGGTATCCCTACTATAGTAGTTCAAGAAGCCAGCTCAGCGCCATCTTCTCCAGGCAATTAGGGATCAACAATAAATTCTGTCCTAATCAACAATGCCCATATCCCACAAACATTTGTTTTAAATTAATTAAAACCTCAATACAATTTTGAGGTTTCAAAATAAGGGTTAAAAAAAAGAAAAAATGCTAATAAAAACGTTGACATGAAGACTTGCATCTGTCTGCTCCCCTTTTCCCTCTGTTATAGTGTATTCTGCTTACCATAAATCCCTTTAAAGTTCTATAAAACGGGTCAAGTAGCAGGCCTGCTATGGAGCAAACCTGTGCTGTCCTGTCCCAACCATCTGAGCAGTGAACCAACACACTGGCTGCTTCCTCAGCAACGGCCTGAAATAACAAAATACCGCATCATATTTACATCAAAGAACGTAGACATATGGCTAAACTTCAGCAGATCAGGGTAAGGAATCCCATATCTGGTGGTGGTGCTATATTCACATAAACTGTGTTTTGTTCCGTAAGAAACCAAAAAGTAATTCTGGACACAGTTTATTAGTTTGTAACATTAAAATACAAACTTCTTATGTTGAACAAAACCTGAGCTTACTCAGGGCTCTTTAGAAGGACTTTTCTATATTTATATTTAAGCATTGTCCTGTGAGGTGTCATTTTGTTTTTAATCTTGTCTAACATATTCTCTAATATGTAACTAAAACAATTGAAGCTATCCTGCAGCATGCAATGAGATTGCCCTATGTTTGACTGTACCACCTCAGAGATGAGGGTAGTGGCAATGTAAGAAGAGAAAACAAAAAAGAAAACTGGAAACAGTATCATTAAAGCAATTTTAGATTAATTAACTTACTTTTGCAATAAATATTCCAGCATCCATAATGGCTTTAATGTGCTTCAACCAGCCAGAATTCTCCAAACCCCATAGAAAGTCACTCATTGAAGGAGATCGAAGCTCACAGACTTAAAAAAAAAACCAATTTCAGTAATATTATATAAATCATACATTCTAAACAATTCTTGATCTGCACACCGACAAATACAATCATACAGAGAGCCTTTTGCTTTATAGAACAACTGCAAATATAATTATATTTTGTGTCACATGCAAGTTTCCAGTGTTGTTAACAATAATGGTAATCACACTGGACTAGGACAAGGGAACTATCTCTTCTGCATTACTTTTTTTGATATAATGGCACTACTCAAAGATTCATAGAGTCAAAGAGAACAGAAACAGACTCTTCAGTCCAACTCATCCATGCCAACCAGATATCTTAAGTTAATCTAGTCCCATTTGTCAGCGTTTTGCCCATATCCATCCAAACCTTTCCTATTCATTGATTTTCATCTTTCTTGAGTGCATATCATCTTTTTATTGTCTAATGCCTATTTCATGTTTTTGTTGTCCAACTGTTCTGACGTTAAAATAATATTTTCTGCAATCATGATTTCACCACAAAATCATATATCAGCAAACAAATTTACAGGCAATCTTATTGTAGACAAAACAATCTCTGACACTCTCATCATAACAATTCCTTTCCCAATGCAAGCATTTTAAATGTAGACAAAAAACAAATATAAAATACAACAAAGGTCCCAAAACATTACATGGCTGCTCAAAGATTTATCTTTATCAGGAGACTTATGCGCCAGGCACATGTGATCAGAATATTAAGTGATTCCAGAACATAACAGCGATATGTGGTGCAGTGGTAACATCTCTAACTCTGAACCAGAAGCTCTGGGTGCAGGTTCCACCTGTCCCAGGGATAACATAGCAGAACAGAATGGTTTAAAACAAAAATAAATTTTCTGTCTGCTAATGAATGACTGGCCAAGTATGGGGATTGCACCTACAATTTGATGCAGTTGTCAGAGCTCCCAGTCCTAGGAGTACAGCACAGGAACAGGTCCTTCGGCCCTCCTCGGTGGAAACCTAGAAAATTTGGCCTACTATATGATGTTCCCTTTTGATTTGAAATCTTACATGTGCTTCACAAAAAAACTACATATAAACTGTCTCCACGGAATCTCTAAAACTACCTTACCTATAATTAGCTGTCATGATTTCCCATCAGGCCTGTAGGTGGTATTTTAATACTTTAATTTGGTTAATAAGCCCATGCCTTATAGATGTCTCCAACACCATCAAGCAGAATCAATGTTTGCTGTGTGAAAGGATATGGAAGCCAGAGAACCAAAGGAAATAAATAGCAACATCTTGAATAATATGCATATTACAGAGGTGGTAGTGCTGGACATCTTAAAAATACATTAAGGTGGCTAAATCCCCACGACCCAATCAGGTGTACCCGAGTACTCTGTGGGAAGCGAGGGTCCCTTGCTGAGGTATTTGTATCATCGATAGCCACAGCTAAGGTGCCAGAGGAGTGGAGGTTGGCTAACATTGTGCCACTATTTAGGAAAGGTAGTAAGGAAAAGCCAGGGAACCATAGAGCGGTGAGCTTTAGGTCAGCAGTGGGCAAGTTGTTGGAGGGGATTCTCAGGGACAGGATTTGCATGTATTTAGAAAGGCAAGGACTGATTAGGGATAGTCAACATGGCTTTGTGCATGGGAAATCGTGTCCCACTAACTTGATTGAGTTTTTTAAAGAAATAACAAAGAGGATTGATGAGGATATGAAGTATATGGGCTTCAGTAAGGCATTTGACTGGACCCATTAGCAAGGTTAGATCACTTGGAATACAGGGAGAACCAGCCACTTGGATACAGTACTGGGTCAAAGGTAGGAGACAGTGGATGGTGGTAGAGGAGGGTTGTTTTTCAGACTGCAAGCCTGTGACCAGCGGTGTGCCACCAAGGTCGGTGCCGGGTCCACTGCTTTTGATCATTTATATAAATGAGGTACGGTTACTAAGTTTGCAGGTGACACCAAAATTGGTGATGTAGTGGACAGTGAAGAAGGTTACCTCAAACTACAATGGGACCTTGATCAGATGGGCCAGTGGGGCTGAGGAGTGGCAGATGAGATTAATTTAGACAAATGTGACGTGCTGCATTTATGAAAGTCAAATCAGGGCAGGATACATACATTTAATGGGAAGGTCCTGGGGAGTGTTGCTGAACAAACAGACCTTGGAGTACAGGTTCATAGTTCCTGTAGTGCAGTTGCAGGTAGACAGGATAGTGACATAGGCATTTGGTATGCTTGCCTTTATTGATTAGTGCATTGAGTATAGAAGTTGGGAGATCATATTGCAGCTGTACAGGACATTGGTTAGGCCACTTTTGGAATACTGCGTGCAATTCTGATCCCTCTGCTATAGGAAGGATGTTGTGAAACCTGACAGGGCTCAGAAAAGATTTACAAGGATGTTGTTGGGGTTGGAGGATTTGAGCCAAAGGGAGAGGTTGGATAAGCTGGGGATATTTTCTCTGGAGCATTGGAGTCCCGGGGGTGTCGTTACAGAGATTTGTAAAAACATGTCGGCATGTAAATAGCCAAGGTCTTTTCCCCAGGGTGAGGAAGTCCAGAACTAGACGGCATAGGTTTAAGGTGAGAGGAGAAAAATTTAAAAGGGACCTAAGGGGCAATCTTTTCATGCAGAAGATGGTGCATGTATAGAGTGAGCTGCCACAGAAAGTGGCCGAGGCTGGTACAATTACAACATTTAAAAGGCATCTGGATGGATATATGAATAGGAAAGGTTTAGAGGGATATGGGCCAAATGCTGGCAAATGGGACTAGATTAACTTACGATTTCTGGTCAGCATGTAGTGAAGGATTTGTTTCAATGTTGTACAGCTGTTTGACTCTATAACTGTAGTATCAATCAGAGGCTGAAAACTAGCACATTAGTAGCTTCAAAATCCATTCCTGCAATTCAGCAGGAATATAGGTGGTGGCATATCCACCACATACTATATACTGCAACAGATTCTACTTTTCTTCAAATTTGGGCAGTATATATACCTTTCAGGTGGAGTATGTAAATGGATAGAGGGAGAACACAGAAATGGACAAGTGATAAAAGAATTGCTTTACGTCACCAACAATGTTCTGTCCATTTTCCTACTGGGACAGAATTCTACGAGAGTGATTCCATTTGACCAAGCATCTATTCTTCATTTAACAGCATGCTTATTGACTGGCTAAAGAATATTTTACCACAGACAGCATCACAGCCAACCACAGCCTTACTCAGTATTCTAAGATTAGGCATCTGTAATCAGGAATTCTTTTTTAATGGTCTATAATCTAGAATGCTGGGTCTAAGTTTCCTTCCCAATCATTGACTTGATTGAAAGAAACTATACGACCACTTTCACACAGAGTGCTGAATTTCAAGTCATCAAGAATAGGATTAAAAGTTAAGAAATAAAATGACAAGAATAGATAAAGATTTTGTCTCAGCATGATCTATCACTGTTGGTAATTGTGGTCCTTTTAAAACTATGTTCGTTTAGTATTCCATACTCAGTATTTCCGGTGAACCGTGGTGTCTCATTTAATCATGTCATGGTAGTAACTAGCCTTTCACAAGCACAAACAGAAGATTTAATCAGGCACACATTAGCTTATTATAATTGCAGTATTTTGAGAAGGTTTTGTTCCGAGAAGGAATGAAATCTAGCCTATAGATGGAGGTAGGCAAGGGGTCAAAGGTGATCGGATATCATGAGTAGCAATTGGCCAAAAGGATTCAGACAATTGAATGACACAACTTAAGCTACCACTCCCTAGAAACAGGGGATAATAACAAGTGATCAGTGGCAGAGGACTGTCCTCGTCAGGTGGTGCTTGTCAAGTGGTCTTCGTAGGCAGTAGTTCTGAACAGTCAGTACCCATCAGGCAGTCCTCAGAAAGCTTTCTTCTCAAGCTAGAAGATGGACCAGGACAAGAGGAGGAAAACATAGGCAAGCATTCCCTAACACCTCAGCTAGACAGCAGGATACTGTCTTCACAATTTCAATGAGACCAACACATTTCACATCAATCGTGTGTCCACTGCTATCAGTGAATTATCCCCAATTGTCAATGTTGCAAACTTTCCTTTGATACTTAATAAATGTATCATACCTAAACTGCCACTTCTTAACAAACTCACTAAACAATCTGAAAATTGCTACAAATTGTTGACTGCCTTTATTAGGTAACCACTCGTGAACCACACAAAATCCAACGTCACACAAGTGTGAACTTATCGACTCCAATATTTACCATCCAGTAGTTTTTGCAGACTATTTCTCATGACATGGATGTTTTCTATCCCTATAAAATGGAACTTAATGTTTGAATAGTTGTCTTCATTCTCGTATCCTTTTCCCGCTGCTCGGTTTGCCATTGCATTTAACTGAAAAGAAAAGTGAAAAGTTTAAAACAACGTGAAGTAAAATTACATATGAATTACATTTTATATTTAGGAATTTAATTCTTAAGGTAAAGATGCCTGTGTTGGACTTGGGTGGACAAATTTAGAAGTCACACTACACCATGTGGAGTCACCTAATGAAGGAATAGCACTCTGAAAACTTGTGATTTCAAATAAACCTGTTAGACTATAACCATTTGCCATATGAATTCGGATTTAATTTTTAGATAAAGAAATATCATAATTTTAATCTTAAATCTCTTGACAGCAAAATCAGTATTACACAAATCTTCTGAGATTTGAGAACAACATTGTTCCCAGTTCAGATCAACAAATCAAAATAAATTAGCTGTGATCAAATACAAAGGCTTCTTCAGTCATTTTTATCTCTCAAAAAAGATGACTGCAATCAGAAAATTCAAGTTTAAATGGGAAATTCAAACAAGCTAATTACACTTAAGGTGGCAGCAAACCAATAAACTGGATCAATCACATCGATGTTAAATTAGACTTAGTCAGTTCATCTAGTGAAAGCTTTTTGAGTGAATAGATTTAGATATATTGTCACATATATGTAAAAATACAGTGAAAAGTGTTTTCTCACATGCAAAATGCAAAGTGTCACCATCCTCCATTTTGAAACACTGAATATAATGCAAGATTTTACTGCAATACAGTTCATCTTTCCCTCTTCTTGTTGTTACCCTCCGCTACTCCTCCACTCGCTGCTTTACATCTGCCACGGTCTTGGTTATGAACCTGTCTCTGTCATCACTGTCACTCCTGCAACTGCAGCGTCTGAGATACTGCATATTGAGGTACACTGTCATATGGGTCACTCATTATGTGCCCTGCTTGGTAACTGACTTCAGACAAGTAAACAAAACTGAACCAGAGAAGAGCAGGCTAGGACCCCATGACAAGGAGTAAGATAAAGGTCCCTGATACATATGTAATATTGTTTAAACTAGAGGAAGTAAACAAAAGGGAATAATTTAAGGATAAGTCAGAGCATGGCAGTTTGGACTAGTGGCATGTTCCTCCTATGCAAGCGGAGAATTCAGAGACATTTCCAGTGTCCAGGCTGACAACATGCACAGGAAGTGTATCCAGCTGTATCTACTGGAAATCCACGTTTCAGACTCAGGGCAGCAGTTGGAATCATTTTGAAGTATTCACAAGACTGAGATCTTCATGAATAGCACGTACAGTGAGGTGGTCACACTGCAGGTTAAGACTGCACAGGCAGAAAGAAAATGGGTGACCAGTAGACAGAGTAAAAGCACAAGGCAGGATATAGATTTTCGATTTTGGAAATTGCTGGGATAGATAATTTCTCAGGGGAAAGCAGCAAGAACAGGTGCATAGCATCAAATTGGTATGTTGACTCCCTAGTGCTAGGGTTAAGGATATCATTGTAGGGCTGCATGATATTCTGAAATGGCAGGGAAAACAGACAGAGGTCCCGGTCCATGTCAGTACCTACTACAGAGGTAAAAAGACAGATGAGGTCCTGCAAGCAGAATATAAGGAGCTATGAAATAAGAAGTAGGCCTTCAAAGGTCATAATCTCAGGATTATTCCCAGTGCCATGTGCTAAGAAGGTCAGAAATAGAACAAATCAAATGAATGCATAGTTGGACAATGGTGTAGGGGGCACTGGGATCTATTCTGGAGAAGATGAGACCCATACAAGTTGGATTGGCTATACCGCAGCAGGACTAGGAGCAATACCCTTTCAAGAGCATTTGTTAGTACAATGGGAATGGAAACCAGAGTAGGAAATGATAGAAAAGTAAAAACCAAAGTGGGAGGCAGAGGAAACAAAGGGTCGCAGCAACTAGAGCTGAAGTAAAAAAGAAGTGCAAAGTTGTCAAAAAGACAAGTCTAAAGGTGCATTTGCATTGAGCATTTGATATAAGGTAGGTGAATTAACTCCTGAAATAACTTTACATAGGTACAATACGATTATGATTGTTGAGACATGGCTACAGGGTGACCAAGGCTGTGAAAAAATATCCATGGGAATTCAATCTTTAGGAAGAATAGGCTAAATGGAAAATAGGCTAAATGGGTGGACTGGCATTGTTACTGAAAGATGACATCAGTAAAAGTGAGAAAGGATTTTGGCACAGAAAATCTAGATGTAGAATCAGCCTGGGTAGAAATAAGAAGTATAAGGGGTAGAAAACATTAGTAACAGTTGCCTATAAGCCTCCAAACAGTCGTGCTGAAGTAGTGGATGGCATTAAACAGGAAAGTAGAGACACATGCAGCAAGGGTAATCATAGATAATTTTAATCTGTACACTGACTAAACAAACCACATTTGCACTAATAGTATGGCAAATGAATTCCTAGAGTGTGTACAAGACGGAATTTTAGACTAATACTTTGAGGAACCAAGTTAAAGGAAGGCTTTCCTAGATTTTGTCTTGCACAATGAGAAGGGGTTAATTAGATAGAATAGAATAAACAGAATAGAATAGCTTTTATTATCACATATACTCAATGAGGACAGTGAAAAGTTTATACGTTACTAATTACAGCCCCGACTTAGATGCAAAAGTACCTAGGCACACCTTCTTTCGTTATAAGATTTGTTACTGAAATAAAATGTCCAACATTACAGAAAACAGTTCAGTACAGCAGACAATGTTGGCACTTAGCTTCCAGTCCACACCGGGCCCTGGCTCCATACCGCACTGGCAACACGCCATGCCAGGAGGTCACTGCAGGAAACCTTAACATCACCATACCACGCCAGAAGGCCCCATGGGAGAAGGCCACTGCACCAGGCCGGGGGAGGTCACGATGCCAATGCCGGGAGGCAGCTGCATCAGGCCAGGAGATCAACACGCCAACGCCGAGAGGCTGCTGCACCAGGCTGGGAGGTTGCCATGCCAACGCCGGGAGGCTGCTGCATCAGGTCGGGAGGTTGCCATGCCAACACCGGGAGGCTGCTGCACCAGGCCGGGAGGTCACCACGCCAACGCCGGAAGGGCGCTGTGGGAGGCTGGGAGGATGCCACACTGGGAGGCCACTGTGTCAGGCCAGGATTAATAACCTTGTCGGGAGAGGGTCTTGAGAAAAAAATGACCATAAACACAATTCTTCATTAAGGTAGAAAGGTGATGTAAGCCAATCTAAAACTAGGATCCCAAATCTAAACAAAGGAAACTACAAAAGGTACAAGGGGAGAGTTGGCGACAAAAGACTTCATTAAAAGTTACTTCAGGAACAAATGCATGTATTGCAACAGTTATACAATAATTTCAGGTGAAAGAACACAACAGGAAAAGTGGCCCAACCATGGCTCACAAAATAAATTAAGGACAGTAATAGACCCAAAGATGAGTCGCATAAAGTGGCTCAAAAAATTAACAAGCCTGAGGATGGACAGCATTTAGAATTCAGCAGGGGACCAAGAGGTTGAGGAAGAGGACAAAATAAAATGATAGTAAACTTTCAGGGAACATAAAAGTGGAAGGCAAGAACTTCTATAAGAATGTAAGAAGAAAGAGTAGTTAAGGCTCCATACAGTCCACAACAGGACAACTGATAATGGTGAACAAGTAAATGACAGAGTAATTAAATTATTACTTTTGTTCTGTCATTATAGAAGACATAAAAAACCCGCTAAGAATTGCTAGGGAAGCATGAGATTTTTGGGAAGGAAGAATTGAAGGAAATTAGTATTAGTAAAAAAAGAGTACTGGAAATATTAATGGGACTGAAATCTGATAAATCCCAGGGCCTGATAATCTTCATCCCAGGGTGCTAAGGTAGCAGCCATAGAAATAGTGGATATGTCGGTAGTTAACTTTCAAAATTCCACTGAGTCTGAAATAGCATGTGGACTGAAGAATGGTAAATGTAATACCACTGTTTAAAAAAGGAGAAAATCTGTAATGACAGACTACTTAGCTTAACATCAAGAAACAGGGAAAATGCTGGAATCTATTATAAAAATTTGCAATATCAGGACACCTAAAAAATTCCAGTGGTATTACACAAAGTCAACATGGATTTATGGAAGGGAAATTGGGTTTGATAGACCTCCTGGATGTTTTTGAGAATATTTCCAACAGATTAGATGAGGGAGAACCACAGGGCGTGGTGAATTTGGATTTGGATTTTATGAAAGCGTTTGATAAAATTCCACATAAGAGACTGTTGTGCAAAATCAAAGCATAAGGGATTGGAAGTAATATATTAGTATGGATTGAGAATTGGCTATCAGACAGGTTATCGAGTAGGAACAAAAAGGTCATTTTCAGTGTGGAAGGTGGCAATGGGTGGGGTACCGCAGGCATCAAAGTTCGAGTCCCATTTATTCACAATATATAGCAAAAACTTGGTTGAGGGAATCAACGTTTCTAAGTTTGTTGAAGACACAAAACCAGTTGGAAGTGTGAGCAGTGAGGAGGGCGTAAAGAGGTTTCAGGGTAATTTAGACAAGCTGACTGAGTGAGCAAATACATGACAGATGCAGCATCATGTGGATAAATGTGAAGTCATCCACTTTGCTTGGAAAAAACAGATGCAAGAGCAAGGAAGTCTTACTGCAGTTGTACAAGGCTTTAGTGAGACCACACCTGGAGAATGGTGGACAAAATTTGGTCTCCTTAATCTAAGAAAAGATACACTTGGCAAAGAGGCATGTGGCAAAGGGTTCACCAGACTGATTGCTAGGATGGAGGTTTCAGAGATTGGGTCAACAAAGCTTTTATTCAGTGGAAGTTTAAGTCTGAGTGTTGGGTGCTGCTTCTCCTGGAGATTCAGAGCAGGGATAATGGTCTCAGGATACACAATAGATCATTTCAGACTGATATGAGGATACTTATTTTTCACGCAGGGCATGGTGATCTTGTGGAATTCTTTACCACAGAAGATGGTGGAGGCAAAGTCAAAGAGTATATTGAAGTAAGAAATAAGATAGATGTCTGAAAGCAAAAAGATATGGGGAGAGAGCAGGAGCTGCGATCATGTTGAATGGCAGAGCAGGCCTGATGGGCCAAATGGCCTACTTCTGCTCCTGTTTCTGTTTTTCAATGAAGATTGAGTGAAGTGTGCAAGATATTTATTCAATTATCAGTTGTTTTGTGCTGCAGCCCAAGACAAATTTCTCCTCTTTGACTCCTGGCAATGGGTTTGAACTCAGCAGAAACCATAGCCTCTTGAAATAGTGAAATAAGAATTTTGACAGCAGAATATCACCATCAGGAGCCTTTGGGAATGGTCTGCAACACCAATAGCATTTGAAAACTTTCACAGGCATGTTTTTTTTTCAAATTTCATCTGACATAAATAAGCGCTTAGTTCATCTCTCCACTCATACTGCACTGAGGCAACTAATACCAACTACAATAACATCTCCACCTTGAATCAACGTCTGACCTATTAACTACAGTATGCAATATATTGAATAAAGCAAATGTCAGCCGTGGAAATAATCTCATCTCTAAGACACAAAGTTGTGAGTTCAAACCACATTTCAGAAACAATTATATAACCTAACACCTCAAAGTGTTACAAGTACAGTACTGCATCATCAGAGGAGCTATTCAGTATCTTTCATAGATAATGCTAAAGCAAGGGTCTGACAATCATGTATAGCAGATAAAGAAGATTCCATTGTACTATTCAAAGAAGAACTCCCGATATTGCTGACACAAATTAACTGACAGTTTATTTCCCTGTGGCTTGTGGGACTTGGCCACATTTGTCACCACATTTCCTACATTAAAGTAATGGTTGCAATTTAAACATACATTCTTGCCTGTGAAATATTTGGAATGTCATGGGGAGGTGAAAGATGTTCCATGAATGGAAATTCTTCCTTCCATTATTTTAACATCATGAGAACCAGCCGGGTCAAAATTATTTGTATCAATGTAAATATATGATCATAATATCACTAAATTGTTTGTTAGGCACAGCTCATAATTGATCTGGTCCATTATGTTCCTCTGACATACAGTTTAAATTATTAGGCATTGATCTATAAATGCTGCTGCTGCCTCCCTGTTGATACCTATGGGATATTTCAAACGTATTGGTTTATTCATTTCTGTGAAGTTAAAAATACACTTGAAAATAGAAACAAAATTGTGGAAATGTTTACATGAGCAAAAATGAAACATTCCCAGAAGGAAAAACCAGTAAATTTGCCAAAGACAACATACAGGTCCAACTGATGTCATAGACCTCAAAATGGAGCCCCTTTATGCCCAGTAGATTCATATCAAATTACTATTTATTTTTACAGCTTTGTTCCCCCTCTGGGTGCAAAATAGCTTTTGTTTTGCTATAAAATGCAGTAGTGAGTTATTTATAGAACGTTATTGACAAATAAAGCAATTCTGAATTTACAATCCTCTTTCTAATGATCGGTTACTCATAAGCTCCATGAATTCAATTATATTTTAATAAATGGTCTGATCTAGCTTCCTGATCAGGTTCTGTGGATATTGATTATACACACAGTTATATTAAGTCACAGAGAAAGTACAATTGGTAGTGGTCCTGGTCACTTTTCCCTTCCTCACTCAGAACAGCCGAAGGCAATTGGATAGTACCTACCAAGCCAGATCAGGGATCTGATAACTCCAGACAGGTTAAGAAAATATTTGGGATTTTCTTCATCTGCAAGATTTGGGACTTACTTCCTCAAACAAGTGAATTATGTTAGGAAACGATTATAGCACAAAATTAGTGACAGATTGCTTTGCTGTGACAATAATGATTGTTTACCTTTGGCCGAGTATCAACAACATATAAGAAATCACTTCCTGGATTTGACTTCCTGATGGCCTGAAGCATCTGCTCATCTTCAAGGCACCGAGCACTGAAACCTGATAGAGGTTGACTGCTTCTACAAATAGCAGCCTGGACAGAGAAAGGAAGAAAAACCAGAGGAATTTGTTTCACAATAAATTATTAAACTTCTTTTATTCAAAATTTTTCATCTTTCCTCAAATTGAAAAATGAAATAATTTTCCATATACAAATTATCACCAAAAATATACTTTACTTTGGGGTCATCCTGTAATTATCGAAATGTCTTCTAAGTATGGGAAGGAAAGAAGAAGCACATTAATCTGTGTACCCTTGTACACATTTCAGCAGGCAGCTCAAAAATGGTCTCAGCAATGACCAATGAACAGGAACATCCTGATCTTTACATTTTGATCCAATTAAACAGTCATGCATAACAAACTAAATTGCCACTTGTGAAAATTGGTTCTATATAACTGATAAATGGACACAGATACTTACGTTTGAATGTCATTTGGCCCATTGTGCATACATTGTGTTGTACGCTCCTTATGTCATTAAAATCCTTTCTATCATAGGTATCCAAAGCATCAACTGTGGTCTAACCAATATCACATGCAATTTTTATTTCTTTACTCTTGCATTCTATGGATTCATTTAGAAGACTCATAACTATCTACCAGCAGTTACAGTAGGTTTTTAGCGTTCCATATGTCTCAATTCAGCACTCCCTTCAATATTTTGCATTAAGCATGTACTGCCAATCCTTGTCTTTACTCCCAATGCTTATACACAACCGTGTTAAAATGCTCAACATTATTCAAGAGTTTCCAGCATGTAATACGCAGATAAAAGTGTTATTTGAACAAAAACAGTATAATTGTTTTCAAAAATTAAAATTTTGAGTGATTGTACATACGTTGTTATCCTGGCGGAAATAACAGAGAACAGGAAAGCGACCTCTGCTCCTGAATTTGGAACTGCCCACTATAAGTGGTGTAGAAACTGACTTTGGTACATACAACTCTGCAGGGTATGTGTCACAAACCTGTGATAGAGAAAATAACTTAACTAGGAACAAAAATTAAGCAGATGATGCCACTGTTGTAACTCTAAATAATCAAATGATTATCCATTTTTGATAAAGTGTTTTAAAGCACTTTAGGAATAAGTGCATCAGTAACAGCTAAAAGAATTGCAAATATCACCAGATGCCATTGATATTCTTGTACTAAGTAAAAGTGATACACAAATTTTAAATTAATCATTTTAACTTGCAAATCATGTTACGAAGTGTATAGTGGTTAACAGTGCCACACTGAACACAAAATGCTCACATTAAATAGTCTAGTCTAAATTAAGAGTGCAGAAGTAACCGAATATTGTTTTAATCTCTCCAGCATAAATGGATACAATATCCTAACATCATGTATTTCATTGAACATTTAGTACCAACCTAAAAGGTCTTTCTCTGGCTCTGACCTTTTTAAAAAATAGTGAGTTCCATGTCCCAAAATGAAGAAAAATACACACAGTGGAGGAATCTTCCAAGTTTGACAGGTGTTTCGAGCACTACCTGAAAAAATGTCAAGATACCTGAACTGATTCTTAAGACCAAGGTACATTGGATCTTTTGCCAATCAGGTGGTTCAATGCCCCTCAACAGGCCTTCATCCAGAATCAGGTCCTTGGAGATTATTTCACAATAACTTTTTGTCTGCTTGTACTCAATTTCTGGCAATTTATAACTAACTCTACAATGTTTTTTGTTGCACATTCTGATAAAACATTCAACTTCAGAACAGAACATAGTGAATAATGGATAGTTATTACAGGATGGCCACATCATTACATTTGGGTGGTGCCTTAAACTTATGAATCAAAGTTAGAGCTGTTTATTTGAACCTCAAGATTGACCCAGATTGGTGAAGTGAAAGAGTAAACTTAAAGAAAACTGTTTAGAAAGATCTCGAGGGCTCTCGTGTGGATTTCTTTCAGCCACTGGTTTTAGGGGATCTGTTATCACATATTTTATTACAGACCCTCACATTTTTCCCTACTACTCATGTTAGGTTACAAGATATCGTCCCTGGAGTGGGATTTGAATCCAGAGCTTCTGATTCGGTGGCACAGTGGCTCAGTGGTTAGCACTACTGCCTCACAGCGCCAGGGACCCGGGTTCGATTCCACCCTCAGGCGACTGTCTGTGTGGAATTTGCACATTCTCCCCGTGTTTGCGTGGGTTTGCTCCGGTTGTCTTTGCCTTTGTCTTTAAGATATTTCAGGTATAAGGGCTTCAGGTGGTTTGAATATACAAGGTTGAAAACCCATCTGCCAGTTAGTCTGGTTTAGTTCACAGCCAGCACACATATTGAAACCAGTTTCTCTCCTGTAACAGTCTCAGAGATAGTAAGAACTGCAGATGATGGACTCAGGGATAACACAGTGTGGACCTGGAGGAACACGGCAGACCCAAAACGTCAAATTTCCTGCTCCTCTGATGCTACCTGGCCTGCTGTCTCCCTCCAGCTCCATACCCTGTTGTCTCTCCTGTAACATTTGTTTTATAACATATTATATGTTTTACTGTTATAAATAGACTAACCATAGTTAGTCCTCAGACATGAATGATTCTTAGACCAGTGCCATTGACATAACCAGGGTTTACGGGGATTGAAAACAAGGCAAGGATATGATTTTCTGTCACCACTCCCTACCTTATGTACCTGACTTCAATCAACAATTATTGCTTCTGACCAAGCCCCCACCCCAGCCCAACCCCATGCCAAATGGCCATATATTCTTTTTCCTTTTGTTTGCAGGCTCACTTGCAGCTGGATTAATCCCAGTAGTGGCAAGGCCATGCATCATTTGAAACAAACAAGGTACTTATCTCCCTAACCGGCCCATGCTTGCAAAATCTACAACAGTGTCCAATGTTAGATGTGATTTTGCACTGATCACAAGTTTAGGATTGTCAGCTTGCCTTGCGGCGTGGCACACCTGTACATACTGGAAGCTACATACGTTCATAAGCAGGCCCTGTTCTTTGCAGATACTAAGAATATGTACATATATCACTGGTTTCAACTCAACAAAATAGGTAGTTCATTTCTGGCAGCAATGCTTTGATCAATCACAGTCAACTTACCAGTTTAAAATTTCAACAAAGCCTGACAGTTAGCCATCAATCATGGCATCTTCATGATGGCACCTCTACTAAATCAGAGTCCACGCCAACCAATCACTCTCCTGTCATGCAGTATAAATGTTGGTTTTCCACTTTAACAATATTCTAGCAAATTGTCCTGATGAGTGCAAGGTGAAAAGTTTTGACAGTGTCTTTTTTTAGCGTAACTGCAATATTTGAATCTTTTTAATACAACTCGATAAATCTAAACTATTTCAGAGAAATCAAACTAAAAGCTGGCATTAAGTGATAGAGTGTAGTTGATTTTCCACAATAAGATTTAATTCTACTGAACTAATAACAGCTTCTAGCTTCATTTAAAGCTTGGTCTGTAAAGCGGCTACATTTAATAAGCCAAACTATTTGAAACATCCAGCTAGTGAAGCTGGAATGTGAGAATGTAAGAACATGTCAGATATGTGATCATTTCTATTTCTAAACTTACCCCATAGTCTCTATTTGCATGTGAAACTTGCCATAAGTTATTAGGAACACCCATGCGGTTGTATTCAGCCTTGAGGTCAGTGAGATTCCAGCCTTGTTCTCTTTCATTTCCTTCTTGTTTCGGGTTAAATGAGAAGCAATATAATTCTTCATACTTTACTAAAATTGTCACAAAGACAGAACAATTACTACACACTCATTTTCTACTGTTCATCTAGTTTGCCTTAATTTTATCTTTTCAGCATAATCATTAGACCAACTAAAATTGCAATAATGAATGCATGGTAGTTTATAAAAAGTACAACATTTTTTAACAGGAAAAATACGTAACAAGGAAAAGCAGTAGTCTTGTCAAGGCAAGATCTCATCCTTATCTTCTCTTACATGTATCATAACTATTGATCAAAACCAATTATGACCTAAGGAGGTCTGTAAGTATATACTTATCAATGGCATATGTTCTATAATCAGCAAACATGCTGAAGCTTGAAACATTGTGTCATGTCTTTGTCTTGAAACTTTACTACTTTATCACATCAACATACCCAACCTAGAGACATTATCATATTTAGAAATTTGCCTGTGGGGCTGCCTTGTTGGCTCATAATCCAATGAATTGTACAGCGTTGTACTGAACCATTTTAACACAAGAAAGATATTAGAGAAAAATGCAATGTTTGGGAAACTTTATTTTCTTAAAATCAGTCAGAATACAGATTTAGAAATGTGAAACACATTGCAAAGAACACTGTGTTTGCAGTGCACATCCAGATAAGACAGGTCCACAGACTTACAATCATAACACTGATACAAGTAAACATGCAGCACTTCTTGATAGTAGCCATGAAATTTGCTCTATTTATAGTAAGCAATGGTGCAATTGCCCTGTTTTGATATATGCAACTCTATTTTCCCAACTTACTGCATACAAAAGGATTCCAATGCAATCAAAAGATCTAGGAACATAGAAAACATTGGGATTTGCAAGATGCTCAATAAGCAAGACATTAAGCATTAAGCAAACATTCCAATTTGTCTAGAGATAAAATAAAGGTCACATTCTGCAGACTATGAATACAAAGGTTTCAATTGTGTACTTAGTATTCCATTGGAATCACATTTAGATTATCACATTAAATACAAGGATCCACTGCCCCCTACATACATTGCAGCAATGATACTAATTATAAACAGACACATGAAGACTCTACCAGCAAACACAGCTTTTTCTTATTTTCACTTATGGAATGTGTTCATCACTGCCAAAGCCTTCATTTATTGTTCATCCCAAAATGCCCTTGGGAAAATGGTGGTGAGCCACTATAGTGTCATGCAATCATTAAAATAATATTCCTCAAGACACTGTTAAACAACTATCTTAGAAGTGTTTGAAAACATGAAGCGATTTTATTAGCTTTGTTTTCACATTATTTTTCAGTACTACAGTCTTCAAGTTACAATTCATTGAAAAGTGTAAGAAAAGGAACAAAAATGCTGCAAATATTCAAATCCCTGAAATATAAAAGTATAAAATGCTGGAAATATGACAGATCATTCTGAACCTAAAAAGACTGATTAATGGTTCCACGGAGAAAAGGGGCCTCAATGTTCCTGGTGGAATACTAGAGAGAGTTATAATCAAGAGATGGTGATGTGTTGGTAATGTCACTGGACTAGAATGTAGTCTGGACGTGGGTTCAAATCCCATCATGACATGGAATTTAAAACATCAGCAGAATGATGGCCATGTAAGACATTGAAGTCAATTCTCATAAGAACCCAATTAATTCAGGAAAATTTTACTGATGCTGTAAATCTCAAACAAACACAGAAAATGAAGGTGTGAAAATAGATAAGTCCCCTGGGCCGGATGGGATTTATCCTAGGATTTATCCTAGGATTCTCTGGGAAGCTAGAGAGGAGATTGCAGAGCCTTTGGCTTTGATCTTTATGTCGTCATTGTCTTCAGGAATAGTGCCAGAAGACTGGAGACTAGCAAATGTTGTCCCCTTGTTCAAGAAGGGGAGTAGAGACAACCCTGGTAATTATAGACCAGTGAGCCTTACTTCGGTTGTGGGTAAAGTGTTGGAAAGGATTATAAGAGATAGGATTTATAATCATCTAGAAAGGAATAATTTGATTAGGGATAGTCAACACGGTTTTGTGAAGGGTAGGTCGTGCCTCACAAACCTTATTGAGTTCTTCGAGAAGGTGACCAAACAGGTGGATGAGGGTAAAGCGGTTGATGTGGTGTATTTGGATTTCAGTAAAGCGTTTGATAAGGTTCCCCATGGTAGGCTATTGCAGAAAATACGGAGGCATGGGATTGAGGGTGATTTAGCGGTTTGGATCAGAAATTGGCTAACTGTAAGAAGACAGAGGGTGGTGGTTGATGGGAAATGTTCATCCTGGAGTTCAGTTACTAGTGGTGTACCTCAAGGATCTGTTTTGGGGCCACTGCTGTTTGTCATTTTTATAAATGACCTGGATGAGGGTGTAGAAGGATGGGTTAGTAAATTTGCGGATGACACCAAAGTCGGTGGAGTTGTGGATAGTGCAGAAGGATGTTGTAGGTTACAGAGGGACATAGATAAGCTGCAGAGCTGGGCTGAGAGGTGGCAAATGGAGTTTAATGCGGAAAAGTGTGAGGTGATTCACTTTGGAAGGAGTAACTGGAATACAGAGTACTGGGCTAATGGTAAGATTCTTGGTAGTGTGGATGAGCAGAAAGATCTCGGTGTCCATGTGCATAGATCACTGAAAGTTGCCACCCAGGTTGATAGTGTTGTTAAGAAGGCGTACAGTATGTTAGGTTTTATTGGTAGAGGGATTGAGTTTCGGAGCCATGAGGTCATGTTGCAGCTGTACAAAACTCTGGTGCGGCCGCACTTGGAGTATTGCGTACAGTTCTGGTCACCGCATTATAGGAAGGATGTGGAAGCATTGGAAAGGGTGCAGATGAGATTTACCAGGATGTTGCCTGGTATGGAGGGAAGGTCTTATGAGGAAAGGCTGAGGGTTTTGAGGCTGTTTTCGTTAGAGAGAAGAAGGTTAAGAGGTGACTTGATAGAGACATACAAGATCATCAGAGGATTAGATAGGGTGGACAGTGGGAGCCTTTTTCCTCGGATGGTGATGGCTAGCACGAGGGGACATAGCTTTAAATTGAGGGGTGATAGATATAGGACAGATGTCAGAGGTAGGTTCTTTACTCAGAGAGTAGTAAGGGCGTGGAATGCCCTGCCTGCAAAAATAGTAGACTCGCCCACTTTAAGGGCATTTAAATGGTCATTGGATAAACATATGGATGATAATGGAATAGTTTAGGTTAGATGGGCTTCAGATTGGTTTTCACAGGTCGGCGCAACATCGAGGGCCGAAGGGCCTGTACTGCGCTGTAATGTTCTATGTTCTATGTTCTATGCTAGCGAAACTCAACAGGTTTGGCAGTACCTGTGAAGAGAAAAACAAGTTAATGTTTCAAGTCTGATATGACTCTTCTGAATTGTAAAAAAGAGTCATACCAGAGTCAAAACATTAACTCTGTTAAGGAAACCAAAAGAAGGGAACAATCTATTTGTTTTCCTCCTCACCAATCTGCAACAGATGGTATCAGTAGCAGTGACCACCGTGCAGTCCTTGTGGAGATCTTCATAATGAGAATAGTGCCATACAATGTGATGGAGGGTATCACCACGCTAAAAAAGATGAGCTGTCAAACATTTTTGGCCAAGACTGGGCATTCAGGAGGCACTGTGGACCATCAGAAACAACAGTAGAATAGTGTTCAAACACAATCTGTAACCTCATGGGCTGGCATATCCCTGACTCTGTCATTACCATCAGTCCTGAACAATACATAAAAGCAAAATACTATGGATGCTGGAAATCTGAAACAAAAAACAGAAAGTATGCAGCATCTGTGGAGAGGGAGAAACAGAGTTAATGTTCCACATCTACTGACTCTTCTTTGGCACAATTCTGGTTGTAGTTCTTGGATGTCAGTCATCCCAGCTCTGGATATCTCTGCAGTAGTTACTCAGGGTAATATCCATGGCTGAACTATCTTCAAGAGCCTCAATAATGACCTTCACTCTATCACAGAAGTCAGAAGTAGAGATGTTCACCAATGATTGCATAATGTTCAACACAATTCACAATTCCTCAGATACTCAGCAAATCTATGTTCGAATGCAACAGGATCTGGACAATATCCAGGTTTGGGCTGAGAAGCAGCAAATAACATTCATACCAGATGACACCAGGCAATACCCATCTCCAATAAGAAATGGGTTAGGGTTAATCTAACCTTCAACTGGCATTCTATTGTGTAACCATCACTGAATCCCCCACTATCAACACCTTCGGGGTCACCACTGACCAGAAACTCAACTGGACTTGCCATATAAATACAGTGGCTACAAGGAGAAGTCAGAAGCTAGGAATACTACAGCTCCTGACTCCCCAAAGCTTATCCACCATTTATAAGGCACAAGGCAGAACTGTGATGGTATATTCTCCACTTGCCTGGATGATTACAGCTCTAACAACACTGAAGAAGCTTGGCAATATCCAGAACAAAGCAGCCCACTTGATTGGTATCCCATTCAAAAACATCCTTCCTCTCCAGCATCTACTTGCAGTGGCATCAGTTTATACCATCTACAAGATGTACTGCAGGTTTCACCAAGGTTCATAAGACAGTACCTTCAAATACATGACCACGGCTATCTAGAAGGACAAGGGAACTGATATATGGGAACACTACCACCTACAAGTTTCCCTTCAAGACATTCACCATCCTGACTTGGAAGTATATAGCTCTTCATTCAGTGTTTCTGCATCAGAATCCTGAATTCTCTTCCTAGCAGCATTCTGGGTCTACCTACATAAAATGGGCTACAGACGTTCATACAGTCATTAAGCATTAAAATAGGCCCTTTGACCCACCATGTCTGTGCCAACCAACAAACACCAAACTACACAAATTCCATTTATCTGTATTTGGTCAGTAGCCCTACACTCTGGCATTTTAGGTCAGCAGGTCTGGCAGCATCTGTGAAGGGAAAAACAGAGTTAACATTTCGGGTCCGGTGACCCTTCCTCAGACCCTTCCACCAGTTCTGAGGAAGGGTCACTGGACCCGAAACATAACTCTG